TGGGGGTGGGGGGAGGACCAGGGAGGATGATTCAACCACTCAACCACTAGATGTCGCTGAAAACAACAAATCCTACACACTGTGCCTTYAATGATTTGTCAGGTTTTAACAAAGATGCCAACATGCTGCAGAGACTCAGTTATTAGTCTGAGCTGCAGATCCCGTTTTGACTGACAGCACTGTGCGTACACACTGTAGGTTCACAGGTAGGTGTGTGTGTGTATCAGAAAGCTGCAGGTGTACAGTACAAAAGGTTGAGTCAATTACCCCCTCTCTTCACTGAAGTAGTTTGACTTCCATCATTACTTTTATGATGAAAGTTTTGTGCATATGACAGAGGAATTAGTTATTATAAGTATAATATAAAATAAAAATATAAACACTTACTCTTTAATTTAGAGCGTATTTTGTTGGCCAGTTTCTTGATGTCTGCCATTAGATCCTCGAGCTCTGCTTTAGTCTCTGAGCAAAAGGAAGAACAGAAAATTTTAACTGGACCAGCAGAGATGAGTATGCGAGACAYACCCATAAAAACTTGTTAAATCACCTCTGCTAATGTTTAACATATTCTGTTATTTACTCCTATATGGTGTTATTTAYTTGACTGGATGTTTGAAGTTCGAAGAAACAAGACATGTTGACAACTTAACACGTGGCCCTCAGTGGCATGGGGAAGAACCATACACAGCCACAACAGCCTGGCACCTCCTCCTCATGTCGTGGTTGTGTTGGTCGCTCTGAAACAAATATGCCTCATCTGACCCCACTGGTTTTCAATAGGTGTTGAGGTCCCATTCCATCCTCTCCACCCCCAAATTCTGGAGGTGTTCTCTGATAAAGCTCACTTTGTGGAGGCGAGAATTGTCATCTTGGTCCCAAACTGTGGAAATACGCCACTAGTTGCTCACAGGTGCTAACATTCAGGTGTTTCTCAGAATGTCAGCTCCTGGGGTACCAAAAGCTCAAAACAATATTTAATAGCAGCGTACGTCATTTGGCACCGACATAGAAGATTTGGCGAGCTTTCCATCATCACTGATAAAGAAATAAACATGCTTTCCAGTGGTTTAAAATATATTGCCAAGAAGCATTATTACAACACAGAAATAATCAACCAAACACAAATTTCCTTATTTTATTGTGGTTTGTTTATATATTACTAGAGAGAAATGAACAAACACACACTCGGAGTTCACCTAAACAAYAAAGTGGACCAGTAAAGAACTAAAGATGCCCTGGAGTATTGTTAAAAATCCTCTCTGACGCTGTGTTGGCATCAGCTCTTGTTTACAGAATGCAGTTGTCTCTTGGGTAGAAGCAGTCATGGCGAGAGATGAAAWAGGCTGAATAAATGGATCAGTAATGCCAGCTCTGTCCCGGGGAGTCCACAGACTCAGCAAAGGCACAAAGCCAGGCTGTCATCCATCATGGACRACACCTCCCAGCATCAGACCCATGGAGGGTCCCGAGAAGCTCCACCAGTTCAGACACTTACAGCAAACAAAAGGAGGGTTTATTGGGTCTTTTGCACTGTTTAGTTTAAATATGCATAGTCACTGTCAATTTTAAAATAAAATAATTTAACTATTTATTGTTTCAAATAAATGTCATTAATGTTTTTCCAACTTGAAGTGTCATTAATGTCCAAGAGAAAAAAAATTGTTTCAGTTACGGTTCACAGTAGTAGGACCAAAGAATGCTGAGTAACACAAAGAGCTTGAATAAAAAACRTAAACTTTGTTAAACAAAAACAGCAAAAAACTATAAAGCAAACTGGAGGAGTCATGAAGGAGAATTGRTATAGGAATGAAATGTGCAGAATGCCTGACATATGAGAAGTGAAAGCTGAGGGTCTTTATGGACAGGTGCTGATGAGAGGAGTCACCTGAGCAATAATAACAGAGAACAGGTGTAAGTGGGTGGGGCAGAAAAATATTAGCATATAGATTTAACATTTAGTATTTAGTTTGATATTGACAATTTAATTTGAACAATTTTTTAATATTTAAATGTGTTAAAAAGTGACTTTAGAAAACGCTAATTACATTTTCAAACACAAACTAATTATGACAAAATTCTGATGTAATTTAAGCACAAGATGTTTTACAAATGGCACCCCATTCAGAAAAATAAAGACAATACACCCAAAAACAAAAACTATTACCTAAAAAC